ATACGTTCTGATTTAATCTCAAAGTTTATTGCAATTCCAAACTTGGTTTCCGAGTAACCGTCACGCAGCCGATGAACAAATGATACGTTACACCCACGTCCGAAACTGTCTATAGACGCGAACGCACGCAGTCTCATACCGCACGAGGATCCCAAATTAGAGGAATGTCTGATTTACATCTCGAGATATCTCGGATGAAGCTATAAATAATTTCAGTGGTGGAATGTTAATGCGACCCTAGGCCAGAAAGGACTGAACGAATAGTCCGCGGACCTCCAGTCCGCGCTCGACGTCCAGTCAAATTGGAAATACTACTACCATCACTAATCTGTTGTTCCCCTTCACAAAAACAGCGATGAAAACAGTTCACGTTAATCTCACATAGAACGATCGAATACATATTAATAGTCTGAAGTCACACGCGGCCGGTTATCGCGTTGGTAAATACAATTTAAATGATTCACTGCCTTTTTCAAAGAAATATTAAAAAGATCGTTTCATCGTAAGTAATTATGTGAATTAATGACGCTTTTAAATATATCTTTTTGTAACGTAACGTTTAATGAACAGCGAATTACTTGAATATCGCTAGAAATCGCCCTTTTTGAGAATTCCGTTGTGCGATCTATATACACGATGTATCTTATACCGCGGCGATAGGTGAAGATAGCGAGAGAGATGTACGGGATGCGCGAAGGCTGAGACAGGGACAGAATGAAATGTGGAGGTCACACGAGACGAGAGTACGGGGAGGAGACAGGGCGTAGAGCAGGACGGAGGGAGAGTCGAGCTGTCAGAGGCAGAGACGTTCTGGGATGGCCCCCATCCTAGTCCTCGCTCTCGTCGTCCTCCTCGTCTGTAATCGTGGGGGCGGTAACGTAGTCCTGTGCCCGACAGGATCACATCGCCACGCCGCTACTGTACCTATATACCTACGTACGTACACAACGCGTGGCGTTGCCCTGCCTGGCAGGCAAGTAACGCGGACTGCCAATCTCGACCGCCTAACGCAAAATCAAGTCGGAGATTGTCCCATTGTATAACCTGGCGTTCCTCGCTCGCCCGCCTTCGAGAAGCTTGTGAGATAACTGTCGACCTCGTGCGCAGTTACACGCTTCCATCCCGAAGGCGTGGAGGTGAAATGAATGATGTCGCATAATAAATTATTACGTGCAATAATTGATACTAGATTGAGCAATATTGTATCAAATACAATACAAAAAAAAAACTACTTTTCTAAAGTACCTAAAAATTTAGCTAAAAATAATTTTGTTAAATAATTATATAAAACACTCAAGCTGGTTGCTAGAATGTCAATACTTTTTGCAGCATTATCTATTATGCTTTAGTGTCCCACATAATTATTGTGATAGTCCAACAAAATTATTTTCAGATTTGTCTTATTTTCAGATTTTCTAGCTAAATTTTTAGATACTTCAGCAAATTCTTTCCGTAAAAAAAGAATGATGAAAAGAGCAAAAAAAATGGAATATCTAAAATCTAATATATATTATAAAATATACAACTGATTTATTATATACATAATACATCGCGTTGCCCATATCAGTATTTGTGAGATAGACTGACGATTAAAGCGATTAATCCGACAAGTAGTTAATTTTGCTGTATGACTTAGTCATCGCGTCCCCCAAGAACATCCACCGGTAACAACTTTCTTCATGGAGTATGACATATACGCTATGATTACTGGATGAAACAGAATACGGGACGTAATCGATCACAACATTAGAGATATCGTCGAGAGTAACCTGATCTGCGGGGTAAGATAAATAATAAGCCGACAATGTGTATGGTGAGAGGGCCAAGAAATACTTGGCCTCTAATATCTTCTCTATTATTTATAAGGAATTACTTTTTAGGAAGTCCGATATAACTGTAAATAATATTATAATTATAGAAAAATGCTATTTACATATAATTTCATATAATATATAATAATTACATATAATTCATTTAAAAGCATAGGAAATAAAGTATTTTTATATTTTAATTTATGATTTAATCGAACCACTTCAATATAAGAAAAACTAGGATAAATTTATTTATATTATCAATTTAAATTTACAATACATACAGAGCCATTCATGTGATTCAAGTGAAGGTAAATCAATTGTCCCCTCAGAATTCATACGGATTCGCGTTTAATTCGACCATATTTTTCGACGACGTGTGCAAAGTTAAATCATACGGGATTAAAATGAAAGATAATCCACGTCCAAACACAGCGATTCTTGTGCCACAATTTCGCATGCATTCGATCGATTGATCGTGCTTTTCCTCGCTCGCAATCTCAACGCGAAATTAAGATTTTCTCCATATGGAACGAGCACTTTGTGAAATTTCTTGGGATTTCAGAATGGGTAATATTCCAAGTTACAAGATAAGAAAGGGACAAAGCACGGATGCGAAAAAGAAGAAGAAGAAGAAGAAGAAGAAGAAGAAGAAGAAGTCGAATACGTTATATCTCTCCGAGTTCGGAGACGAAGTCCGCTATAATTTCAGCATCGATCATTCGCGAAGCGCCGGTCTTCCGTGCAAAAGCGTCGACGAGTCACAGCAAAACCTACACGCGCAGCATTGCAAAAAGAGTTACCGTACCAAGAACATGGAATACTTTATTCATTTGAACAGGGGTTGGCACAGGAGAAGGGCCGAGGGATGTGTCGGAGCGCAGTCATGTTTCGACGATAGAGTGTATAGAGAGATGCCAATAAATATGTCCCCATCGGACATGCAATATGTATGCCGATGTCTGCCACTCCGCGGATAAGACTCGCGGACCCAATTCACCACGACTTGTCTCCGTTTCTTCCTCTTCATCTTTTTCTTCGTTTTCTTTTCGTTCCCGAGGCCCGACGTCGTCGACGCTGCAAAAAAGGCTTACGCGCGAGCAATCTGATGGACGTATTGAGACGAGATGTACCGCCACGATGATAATAATCAATACTATGCAGGCTTCTTAAGTCGAATCTTGGTGGTCAGATGTTTACACGGAGGTTCTACGTTATCCCGTGACACTTGACGCATGTCCGCGATACTATATTGACAGCACAGGATCTTTTTATCAATTTTAATCCCTAATATATACAATAATTATCCAGTCCTTTATTATCGCGATAGATCAATCGTGTCCCAAATTTTCATCATTTTAATAAATACAAAAATTATTAAGTGATTCTTTAACATATTTAGAAAATATAGTAAGGTTGCATATTTTAAAAAATTGTATATAAATATTATAATTACGTGAGGACCTTAATTTAAAAAAAAAAAGAAATATATACGAATGACTCGAGTGTATTAAGGGTTAAAACACAGACAAAAAATCATTTATATTATATAAAATTATCATGTTGTCAGAATACGCGCACGCGACTTTGATCTAGTCTATGTTTTCATACAATTATAAGAACTTTTTGGAAAGACAATTGGCATAGCATATTTGCAAGTAGAATTTTATCATAATTAACTAATAAAGCAAATATTCCATACAACACAGATTATTCCAGCAATACTGCAATAACGTTACAGCAATAATGCTGCAAGCTTTTGTACTATATATATAGGTATATAGAAAAAAATTTTTTTTTAAATTTGTTAATCATATGTCAATATTTAGAAAGAAACGATCAAGTGTAAACGTGGAATTAAATTAGCGGCTTGTGAGATTGTATATGTCAAGCGGAAGAGTCTGACTTACAAAAACAAAGCAACATTTAAATGAGTCGCGGGAGAAAGAGACTGGTATACCAAAGTTGAGTCCCTTTTTGTCGCGGGTGAAAGGAAGACGATCGACTCTCATCGGGTGGTCGCTGATCGCGACGGATAGACGTCCGATCTGGCAGCAAAACATTCGCTGATCTGGCGTATTAACGATCTCATCAATAAAGCTTTTCTTCGTATCCACACAGACGGTCCTGAGGCCCCAGAAACATGACGCGAATCGATGAACCCTCCCTCCCAGTATCGCCCAAAAAAAATCGCCAATTTGTTGAATGCATTGGCCATAATTCTACGAGAAAAACCAGCATTTCATATGCGTCGGACCCGAAGGATTGAGTATACACGTCGGTACAAATGTCGTGTACAAATGTCGAATCAGACAAAACCCTCTTTTTCGGCTGACATCCATCGGAATTTATATACATCACGTGTACCAATCGCGAGATAGAATAAAAGAGACTTTTTGTAGATTTCTTTATGATAAAAAATCATTCAGAAAAATCATCACTGCAATAATCACTGCTAATACCCATATTACCATAATTTTAACTTCTGGGAATGTCCGTTTTTATCAATGTAAATTTATCAGTTTACTTACTTGACGAATACCATATCGAATATTTGTAATTAGTTTTTAAACAAAAAGTTTGAAAAATTATAATTATCTGTATTTAAGTGTTTGATACATCTTTTTTCAATTTATATTCGTTTACGTGAATAATTTAGATACTATTCTAAGTGACAGTTTATCTTATTGAGTAGTGCAACTATATAGTTACATAATTTTCTAATAAAATCTTAACATTTTATTTTTATAGCTTCCATCCGGAATTGAATTTTCAAATTTGTCATAGTTTCCATTTGGAGTTAAATTTTCAAATTCAAATGGAATTGAGTCCATGATGTCGCGTCTTTTTCTACCTGTGGCTGGGGTGGTGGTAGTGGTGGTGGTGGTGGTGGTGGTGGTGGTTGTTTTATGACATCGAGGTTTACAACAACATTTCTTACTTTTTCTTGCTTTACAAAAGAAGGATTCCTTCGCACAAAACAGAGAACTTCATTATTTTTCGGAAATTCATCGGTAAATGATCATGTTTGAATTAAAACTTACGGATTCCTGGAACATGGCACACACCACAATCGTCAAGATCAAGAATACCACTGATAGTCTCATATTGCAATCTTGTGCTGCTAATGTTTGCACTGTGAATACTCGCGTCGTAGTAGCGGCATTTATACTGTGCCGGTGAATAATAATTTATTCGTTAAGCATTGACAATGAATGTGGTACACACCTGTTTTGCCATTTATCATAGTTCACTGTCAAGTATATTCCGTATAACGAGATAATAACAAAGTATCAATATGTTCCGCATTCTTTCAGGCATATGTCTCTGATATGAAACAATTGTTATACTCACAAGTTC